TGGGGCCTAGCTTGTTGCTGTATTTGCATTAGTAGTTGCTGCATGACAGCCTTTTGTTGGGCCATATTCCTCATGTTGGCGGCCATTTCTCCAACTTCCCATGCCAAGCGTGCGGTTGTTCCACCCCTTCTGTGGCGATGGTGGGGGCATTGCATGTTTACATTCGCACGAAGGACCTCTTCTTCAGAGACCTCCTGCTACACATTTCCACCGTGAGTTCCTTGGTGACTTGAACTCATTGAGTTCCTTGGATCGCTTTTTCAAGGTGGTCCTTTGTTCCAGAACTGAAGCCTTTCTTTAAGGCTTTTCACCCATAGCTTTTACCCAGTTTTCTAAAAAGCACTCCTAGGCGGGAAGCATGATGAAAACGCTTCTCCTTGAGCCTAAGCGAGAATTAAGCGGTCAACGACAATATTGATCGCTTAATGCTCGTCTAGGCGTTCCTAGGTGACAGCTGGCGCACTTTCACCTTAAGCCTAAGCGGGAATTAAGCGGTCAACGACAATGTTGACTGCTTAATGCTCGCCAAAGCGTTCCTAGGCGACGCCTAGGCACGCTTCGCCTCAGGTCCAGATTTTAAAGGGGCCCAATTTTTTTCCCTTTTTTAAAAATAAAATCCATAGCCCAGATTCAGTAGCCTACTATCCCTTCAAATCCAGACTCCAGATAACAGAGAAGACGGAAGAACGGGGCAAAACCTCTCAATTTCTCCGCACACCGCACTGATTTGGGTATCAAGTATGTATAAGAAATTATCAAAATGAAATAAGAAAACCCGAGAATGATGATTTTGTATCGAACGATACGGAGGATGAATTAGATGATGAAGAAGAAGAAGAAGAAACCGATAAAGAGTTAAATTAGATAATTTTTAAGCTACAAGTTATCTACGTTATGTAATTAGAATTTCGAAACTTATCTTTATGTATGAATTATTAAGTAAATATAGTATTTTATAATTTTAGATGTTTGGTATGTATTAATGAATTATTGAATTTTTTTACAATGATTAAAAATAAAAAATAAAAAAACATTTTTTTACGCATAAGCTTTGTCTAGGCTCATAAAGCTTGAAACTTGACCTCCACGCCTAGCCACGCTTTATGCTTTTTAGAACAATGCTTTTACCACTAGGATGTACGTGGTTATTGTATCAAAGATTCTCACAGATGGCGTCAATTTGTTGACCCCAAAAAATGGTTCTAACTCATGGTCAACAGAAATATGAGATTCGCATTTTCGTGAGTCGAATCGTAATATGCTCGAATCTAGCAACTGTTTGCATTGGTCAATCAGTGAAAGGGATTATCCTCAACGTTTTGTATGTTGTTGTTATAATTACTTTTCGCATAAGAAGGAGGTCGACTTCTGAGTGTTACAGAGAGAATTGAGTTTTACTTTTGATGACTCAAAATGCATTATCCTTTCATGGTGCTATGTATGACTTTTTATACTAAGTGTAACGAGGAACCTGGTCCGTTGGATAGCCAAGCACATGGTACATTAGATCCGAGGGTCTTTATTGACGTCAATCAATTAGTCAATCAACGCCATTTAATGTTAAGATCCTCGCCTGTGTGCTGTGGATCTTATAGCGTAGGCACGTAGGGGTGGCGCTTGCAGCGTTGTCCTGTCTATCACTTCACAAGGTTTGCTAGGGTTGACTAACCACCTCTCCGAGACTGGGTTCATACCAGGGGCCTCCTCAATAAAAAAAGGGAGGGTTAGATGGAACAACTTTAGATGGATTGGGCCTCGGATTGCGTCGAATTGGGTCGTCCCTCTTGCGAGTGCCCATAAATCTATGTCGTGGAATTTTGTCCATTTGCTACGTGGTATGTTTAGTTTACGATTATTTATATGAGCAACAGAATCCGTTAAAAAACATATGACGAATCGTACAAGAACCCCAATTTTAGGGAACATTTGTGCTAAATTCCTTAACAGTCATACTATTTATACTATCTATTTAACATGGTTGATACACTTAATAGTAAGTTGGATATACATGGAATTTGTCAGTTCTATTGCTTTATTTTGATTTATAAAATTTGAACTAGAAAATTTCATCAAATTAATCACGTAGTAGCTAAATCTACTGGAAATGAATGCTAGTTATTGTACTTCTTCTCCAACAATACTCACAACAAGTCACAAATAGGATACAAACAAACAGATTCACTTATAGCACTTCATTACGGGACAAGAAAGACGTAAAACGTTTCACATTAACGGTGCGTTTGATTAAAAACATAGAATTTGTATGGAAATAAAATAAATTCTATGCAAGTTATTTGTATGGAAATTATTAATGAAATGTATTTGATTGATTTAGTTTTCAATCTAGAAATATTATACTTGTCCATTTTTTATTAGTAGGTAGATGAGAGAGAGTGGATAGAGAAAGAGAAGAGATAGTGAATTACCTGAAAAATAAAAATCATATTTCCTTAAAAAAAATATTTTTCTTGAAACTTCCTTGATTTCAAGGAAAATATGGTCACGTGACCAGAAATAAAAAAATATTTTTCGTGAAAAAAGTTTGTTAATCAAACAGCACAAAAGTAAGAATTTAGGTGGAAAAAGTACATTTTTAATTGAAAATATTGACAATTAAATGCACCATAAAATTAATTTTACAAATAGTTGTTGGAGTTTGTACAAAATTTTAAGTTGGTAATTAAAGTTTTTGTATCCTATATAGTTATTAAAATTTGAAACGTTTTTACCATTGATCTCTTACTTAGATAAATTGTTGCAGAAGCTTGCTCCAAGGGCTATATCAAAACAGTGATTTTTGGACTCAGTTTCACGTTACATTTCTCTACCAAGCAACCAATACAAACGGCTCCAACCCACAATCAATATATTCACCTCGGTTGTTCCTCAATCTTACCCACAAAAGAAAAGATAACGGTGATGATTTGTAAGCCACAAAGACATGAGACAAACAATGGAAGAAGATATAAAGAGGATGCCAAATACACAAAGAAAGCCACTGGTTTTTCTCTCCACTAAGACAGCCTTCTTCCAGCAAAAAGGTAGCCACATTTTCTAACAACAACATACAAATAGGTTTAAATAGTAGCCACGTTTTCAAACACAAATCACATACCTTATGGCTAAGATAAAGACACCATATATATATATATATGCTGTTAAGTTTTAGTTGGACCAATAAAAGGTTTAAATGGGCCAAGATTCAAAGCCACCCAAGAGGTAATATATATGAGTCGTGAGAAACATTAATTCTTCAAGCTACTTCCAATGACTCACCTTGTTTTCGGGTCAAACCTTTGGACTTGGTTGTTGGTAACAATTTAATCCAACGTTTATATCATAGATCAATATTCATTGGGTATCAAAACCTAAAAAATCTCCACCTTGATATTCAATTAACATGCAAGCAATCAAACACAAAGTTAATGCTTGCATAATTGAGGCAACCAATAAAATTGGAATTACAGACCTTACTTCGTGTTTCGGACCCAAAAAATACCATACCCGCTCCATGTACTCACCAGAGCTAAGGTCAAATAAAATCAAAGTAGAAGCAGATAATAATGGTAAACAATCAAGAGCAAATAATCACGCGATGAAAATATAACATAGGATAATCCACAAATCTTTTCCAAAATACGTTTAAATAGAACAACAGATTAACACTAACTCAATCAATCAAATAGTCAAAACACATATGCAACAAATGTATACATGATTTCACGAAAAGATCTTACCACACTTATCCTATCACATTCCTTGTTGCTCATATCTCGAGAACACATATCTCTTCTCATCGCCCACCATGCTCAATAGACTGATCATTCAACAAATGTCTAATTGGTAGACCTTTATAGATTCTAAATCCTTGGAATAATCCTTTATCACCGTGTTCGTGCAAAAATCGTAAGCGTACGAGATTGTTGACAAGTAATAGAATTGATGAGTGAAAGTATCGTCCCACAAGGAATAAATTCGATTCAAATTTATTAGATTTTTATGGAATTCGAATTATATAAACAAAAGATAGTTTAATTTTTTTTACGTTAAATTAATCTAAGAAAGTGGTAAAAATGTGATTTTATAAATTTATAGATGATTATATTGGATCTCGAATACGCCTATTGTTGCCTATTTCAAATCTTGATTTGTAATCTAGTTATATTTATGCGTTCTTGACAATCGATAAAGTTATGATATATAATTTTATTTTTCAAGACAAATTAAACTATCCTAAGCATGACCCATTCCTAATACGAATTCAAATGATTAGAATTCATTAAAATTTAAATTATCTATATGATTGCATATTTGATAAATGTTATTCCTAATATTCATTGCACATATATTAATTTTGACACGTTCTAAACTTATTGTGAGTCTCCCAACACTATAAAAGGAAAGTAATTATCTACTTGGTTGCCAATCAATTAAGTAATGTAATGGATATGCACAATTAATTAAGAAATACAAGAATTAAACTAAATTACTAGTCTTGAATTAAAACAAATAACAAATAAGGTTCATCTTCATCCAATACAAAAAGGATCTAGGCTAGCATATTAATATATAAATTACAAGAAGTGTAATAGAAAAATATCGTCCGGATCATGAAATAATTCAAAAGATTTTGATCTTCAAGTCCAAAGATGAATTCTTCAAAATTTTGATATAATCTTCAATTTCTTACTATGGCTTGATCTCCTCTTTCAAAATATAATTATTGGTCACTTTTTTTTATGAATTTGATGATATTATTGTGTATGAAGAGGCAAGAAATTTTTTTTTGTAATGTGCAACCCTCGTTTCCTAACTATACTAAAAGAGCCACTTTGCCACGTCATCGTCGCCCAATACGACGCCGTTTCGTTCTTGCGCGTGTTTTCCTTCCATTTTCCACTAAAACGCGAATAACAAATCCTAAACCCTATGTTTACTCTCTCCAAAATCCAATTCAATTCCCACCCCTAAACCGCAATCACAGAGCCAACTGCTGCCCTATGCAAAATCCATCAATTGGATTCACAAAATTCACACTACATTCATCAGAGACCTCGCTGCCACCGGGAAGGTAAGTATTTTGTGGTTTAGTAGGGATTACCACCACGAGACCGGAGTTTCTTTCGGTTTTATTTCCGGGAAGGTAAGTATTTTATGGTTTTTTCCATATTTCTATTTTCTAGGGCTTAATCATCCAATACCGCCCTAATCACTCACGCAAGAAATCCCAGTAAGCCCTTTCTTCTGTCTATCCTTCAGCTGCAAAAAACGATTTTTTCCCTTCTTCAACGGAGACACGACGGTGTCTGATGGAGACTCCGATCCGTGTCTCCGTGAGTCTGCCTCTGTGTCTCACGAAGACACGGTGCCTATCTCCGCCTCGAGTACGGCTATGAGAGTACAGAAGGTTTGTCGGAGCTAATCCTAACTATACTAAAAGAGCCACTTTTCCTAACCACCGTCAACTATAACGATGTCGTTTTAGAGGATTTTCCCAATCCATTTCTCTCCTACTCGCACGGAGACACGACGCAGTAAGGTATCACTTACTTTCTCGTAGTCTTATTTTCTTCATAGTTTTCTACTTTTTGCAGTTAATTTTCCAATTAATAGCTAGATGAAGCTGAGCATTACTATTTCTTTCCTAAATTGGGGTTTAGGGTTTATAATGGCTTCTAACAATTCCCCATCTGCCTATGAGAAAGAACAGGTATTCTTCCTCGCAGTTTGTACAGAACACACGGTGGGACAGTCGGTTGGACAGATATTATTATTAATAATTATGGACCATTTAGACGATGACTTATATGATTTGGAGGATTTAATTTACTTCTGAGCAGATTTTTCGAATGGCAGGGAAAGAGATGGAATACATGGTGGATTTCTTCAACAAGTAGGTGAACCCTGCCTTTTGCCCTGTTATATCTTTTTGGTGAAAATGTTGTTTTCTTGGTGGTCTAATGTTAATTCAGAGCTTGAAACTAATTACTACTTTCTGTCCTATGATCTTAATTTGATGAAAGATGAAAACTTAAAAGGCTTGATAGTTGCTGTTGGGTGGAAGGAAGAGAATTAAGATGATGAAGTTAGAAATGAGGAAATGAAACTGGAGAAGATAAAGTGGGTGAAGGTTTTATTTGGTGGCTTCTATGTATGCTGAGAGATGAGATGGTAGCGGAAAAAACTGATGAAAGTTTAGAATGAGTGATCTAGAAGTTAGATTTCTATTTTGAATGTAGACTGGAAAATACTTAATGGGAGGCAAAAGTTTTTGATTACTGTTAGTAGCAAAGATTTGTAGGGAATGGTTGTGGAGAGTGGATTGCCAGGTGGTGCCTGTGTGAATTTTTTGCAGGGAACATGTGTCATCATAGTGAAAGTAGTGGTTTCTAGCATAGTTATCCTCCTGCAGTCATCTTCGACACTACTTTGTGTCCTATTGTATTGGATAGTCCTATTAAATTAGACAAATGTTTCCTAACTATTTAAAAGAGCCACTTTATGAATGTAAGCTTGATTATTCAGGTTAAAGCTATATTTGGCAAGAGTTAAAATTTCATTTTGATGGACTTCAATAATATGGCAATAGAGGTTTATTTTTGAAATTAAGGGGTTAGGTTTCTGGAGAAAAACCGGAGCAATTTTAGGAGAACCGGTAGCTATATCTATTTTCAATGTTACTAGAATTTTCCTCAAGATGCAATTACCTCGGCTTCAGGAGGAATTAGAAAATGGGTATAATCTCCTCTATGTTTTCCCTTGTCCTTGCAGAAGTACCTTCTTGATTTATAGTTATCTAATGGTAAAAAAAAAAAAAACTAATTTTTGAAAATTCATATCAATGCATTCATATCTGTAGATGGACATCCCCCTCCCTCTCCACTATTTCCAAAAAAAAGTAAAAACTTCAATGTTCTTTATCTTTTGAAAGTTCTTTGTCTAAAATATTCATTTATTTTCTTTTTTTGCAGTGCATTTTGCTCTCGATCCTTATCTCTCTTATTGGTGTTTCCGTGTGATGAGCTGTGACTGAGTTTTTTGAGTTTTACTGGCAATGATGCTCAAGTTTTACATATATGAATTGGTGATGAAGTATCCTCGGTTTGAACACTTTCACCCCATTCTTTATTTGCATCTATAATTCTGGATAATCAAAGGTAGTTTTTTTCCCTTGGTAACAATGTTATTATCCAACATTTCTTTCAAGAAAAATAGTTGTGGTTATTATAAATGTTACTTCAAAACAACTAATGGCTTGACTTCAGACACGAGATCAACGAGGGAGAAGAGCCGACCGATGTAAAGAACATAAAGTCTTCTCCTTTGCCTCCTGACCTCAATAAAGTATCTGAACAAATTGACCAATATATCTCTAATTTGTCCAGCTTGAAATATGATGATTCCAATTCCCCCAAAGTGCCATTTGCTGATTATGTAGTACTAGCCACTTTATGGGATGAGCTTTCAAAGTGGGAGACCTCTTATTAAGAAGCATTGAAGCTTCTAGGAAAACAATTTAACAAAATAAACTCTCTCCTACTGGGAATGTCCCATCTTCTTCTGCCTTCTCGTTACGGTCTATATGAATGATAAACAGGATAAACTTACACAGATAGATAATATTCACAAGATAATTGAAGTGACATCAATTGAGTTAAAATTATTACTTCATGTTGATTGCAAGCAATATTATGATGTATTGGTGCCACTAACTAATTATGGTTTGTCATAATGTAAATTAGTTAAAGAATCCTTTTGCATACTTCAGAAAATAAAAATAATGCTTATATGTCTACACTGCTACAGTTGGAAAATGCTTCCTTTTGCAGCTGTACAGATTGGCCAAGCTTTTAGAAACAAGGTCTCAAATTCTTTCATAATAGTTGCTTTGTTGGATGCATGTCTGGGATTGAGCATTCATAGGATATACTATACATCTGAAATGAGATAATTTGATGCTACATCACAAATGTAGCTATGTTAAATATTTTTGTATATGTTAATCTTCCTACAAAATTACATGCTGCTCTGTTCACTAAGGCTCATAGACTGCAATTGTTGTAGAATATTGCAGTATGCCTAAAACTTTTATTAAAACCTCTACTTAGAGGTTTTCATTTTGCACATTCATGATTTGTTACTATCTTTATTTTTTTATTTATTTTATACGTGCTGATAGAAGCAATTGAAAATCGTGTGCCACAAGCATTTGTAATTTATGAAATTGGCACAAAACTTGAAGCCTGCAGCTCAATTGCCAACATTGAATTCAGTTAACCACAACATCTCATGGAGTGACTTTATAATATTTAGTGTTGAATCTAGCACTATAGATGCTTGCTGGGGAAGTCCAGGTAATTTTTGATGTGTGATTAATGCGTCGGAAAAGTTAAATAATGCTCATTTTCTATTGATGCCAAATGGTTTACCAGCGTAATAGTCTTTAATCTCAAAAAAGGCAATTGCCCAGTCAACTTGAAAATGGGATACCACGAAGTGCATGTCTACTAAGTTGTGCAAAAATACCAAATAAAGTGATTTCTTTCAAGTGAATCGAGGAAATCTTGGTGACTTACAAGCAACCTTTATATGATTGCGCGGTTGTTGCTTTTGTAATGTTTGGAGAAGGGGTTGGACCGTAGGTAGATAAAATGTGGGCCTTATTTTTAATTTTTATTGGTTCTTCTTCATTAGAAAAATTTTCAATTGGAATAAATTTTTTAACATCTTTTATACCTCTCCTACTATCTCTAAAGATGTAAAATTTCAACTTCGTCGGCATCATACTCGGATTTTTCATAAGTTCGACACTTGCATTTTCTTACCGTTTTAATTTTGAATTTTTTTGTTCAATTGATACTATCTTTTGAGTTGCAATTCACATCGATTTGTCTACTTTTCTATATCTGAATACATTTTAAGGAGTAAGATTTGTCAACTACTTTTTGGATACTGAGTTATTAGGGGAATGGGCTGGTTAGTTTAGGGAAATGGTTAGGCCAAGGTTTTGAGAACAGTTATTTGATAAATTATTGGGTTCTATCACATTATTATGTTTACGATATTTCCTTATTATTGATGTTAAAGCATTTTCCTCTTCCTATCTTTATCTGTAGAAAGATGAACTTTCTGATGGGGCCAAACCACAACCCCAGCATGTGGTTACTCCTGATCCTGCCGATGAATCTGATCAGACTGAGTATTAGCTGGGTAATCATTCTGTTGAAACTCATACAGATTTAGATTTATAGTTACCCAAATTATTCTCGTTTAAAAAACATATTGTCCTTCCATTATCCTAAGACAGTATATGGCTCAGGTTTTTATTTAAAAAAATTAAACTCTATATCATGAACAAAATTAATTTAAATTTAAATGTTGGGTTGAAATTTAGGTGAAACTTGATATTCTTTTTCCTTCAAACCTAATATGATTTTGTCGGGAATACCGAGGTTTTAATTTTTGTTTCTATCAATTTTAATGGATAATGCTGGACCAGAGCCAGATACTCGAGGGCTAACCAATACTATGCATCTTACACAGCTGGGATCAAGCTTTTAACTGACAATGAAGCGGTTAGTTGAAATTCATATAATTCGTATTTTTTAACATGGGTTACATTAAGATTTTCCGTTTGTTACATTAAGATTTTCCATTTGTGTACGGAGGCACCTCCATCCAAGCCCAGCTTTCATGCCTCCATCCAGGATGGAGACACAACGGTGTCTCCATCCTGGATGGAGGTGCCTCCGTACACAATTTTTTTTTTTTTTGCCTTCGTGAGACACCTACTTCCAGGATGGAGGCACTACGTGTGCTTTCGTTTTGACAATATTTACTTCCTTTTGTTTAATTGTGTTCCTTGCCTACTCTGGTCAAAATCACAGGTTGAATGTACCATACCGAAAGATGATGGCACCTTGGCATCATTTGTGGGGTTCAGGGTTGAGCATAACAATGCGAGAGGTCCAATGAAAGGAGGAATGAGATACCATCCCGAGGTTCGTTAAAGTTTAGATGGCTGAACATTTTAAACTGGATTAACTATGAATTGATTTAGAGATGCAATCATTATGGTTCTGCTCTCTGAATTTACCAGACCAGAGGTAGATTCTTCTTTTTTCTTTTTCAAATTAAATTGCTAAAATAAGCTCCTCCAGATGTAAATTTTTATATTCCTTCCTAATCTTGATGATTGTATTGTGTAGATAGATCCAGTCTCCAAACTTTTTTTCCCTTTATTTATAATCAAAATTCTATATGGATAAGGTAGGTAGACCCAGATGAGGTGAACGCTTTGGCGCAACTCATGACATGGAAAACTGCAGTAGCTAACATACCATAGGGTGGAGCCAAAGAACGGATAGGATGTCATCCAGGGGATTTAAGCATCTCTGAGCTAGAAATACTTGCTCAAGTTTTCACACAAAAGATACACGATCTGCTTGGAGTCCACACAGATGTTTCAGCGCCTGATATGGGAACAAATCCACAGGTCCGTGTAACATATATCTCAACCTTGCCGTCTGATTTTAATGAAGTCAGTGACATGTATCTGGATTTATTGTCAATCTTTGCTGTGCAATTGAACAGACAATGGCTTGAATCTTAGATGAGTATTCAAAATTTCATGCGTATTCCCCTGCAATAGTAACTGGAAATCCTACTGTAAGTCTGCGAAAAGCTCTCAAATGATACTTCAGTCAGGTTCATGGTTATTTTTTTCACTTCTAATGTTATCTGATGATGCAATATGCTCTCTTATAGTATTTGAAAACCTGCTTTTTTTCTGAAATTTCTCCATTTATGTCCTACTACATATAAAAGAGCCAGTTTTTCTTGTTCATGCCACGTCATCGTCAACCAATACGACGCCGTTTCTTGCCGGTATTTTCCTTCGATTATCCACTCCCGCTTCTAAAACGCGAAGAACAAATATAAGACAGGAGGTAATTTCGTTACGTATGCAGGTGATGGTTATGAGCATAAAAGATCAACTCAGAGGGACATATTTGACGTCTGCAAAGGACCCGACATATATTATAATTTCTTAGTGTATAAAATTATATTTCCATCATATTAATCTGTTTATGTTTTGATCTCTCCAGCCTTCGTCTTTATAATAGGTTTAAGAGATCTTATGTACAGAAAGGGGATCATTTTTTTTATAATCATGTGTTCGAAAATTAATTTCCCAAAGTCATTTATTTAAATTCTCTAATTTTAAATGATTTTCGAAATACAAATATTTTAACCACATTCATTTATTAAAAGTAAAAAAATGTACATGTTTTCCTGTCATGAAGTCCTGTGGATCTTCGATGGGACTGTCAATAGATCTATGTCATTTTCATTGGTTAAAACTATATCATTTGAAAATGGGATTTTCAAATTCGACACAACTGTTCCTGCTAAAAGGAATCAACCTCCAATTGTTCTTAAGGATTTAATATATACGTTTACCTGTTGTTCCTTTAGTACAGATATCATGCCAACCATAAGTGATAAAACATGCCGTTTCTTTCAAGTTATCACACCTTCGTTAAAACATATCATTTGTTTGGCGAGTTTTACAATAATTTTATTCTTTAATGCTGTGCCTTTGTATGTTTCAATTTGAAATCTAATGAGCCCTAAAAAACTCCTAAAACTTAGCATTTATATGTTTATTTTAAGACATCTTATGAAGTGTAGGTACCCATATTTTTAATCGACGTATCTGCCGAATAATTTTAATTATATGTAACTTTAAAAAAAAACCCCATGCAGTAGAATTAGTGTAGTAGATGATGGTTTTTAAGGTATGCTGGTGTTGATATGATAATAGATAAAACTATCGCTTTATTTCCCCGTCTGTGGACCAAAAACTTACTTTTTCTTCCTTTATTTCCCTTCCCTCCTACTTTCACTCTATGTTTAAATGAAGCGAAAAACCTTACTCTTTCGTTTTGATATCACTTGCTTCCAATTCTCCCTAAATATCAAGTGAATTCGTCATATATGATTATGAAAGAAGTCCTGGGAATTCCTTATGGTACCATGATCATATACTCTATTAGAATCTGCATTCACTGATCACAATGTGTCACTGACTTAAAGGTTTGTGTGCTCACTATATGAGTTGTCTTGATAATTCCCACTTAAGTTGGATCGTCACTTCCATTAACTGCAATAGTTCTTTATGACATTAATTTATGTTTTCATGTTTATCTTCAATAAAATGTTCTGATTACGCTTTTGTGATAATGAGACATATAGTTGTATTTTAAGAAAATGAAGAAAAAGTAAAAGGCGTCTGTACTCGGTGATTCTGTATTGGAGGTTGCATCAAGTATCAATCGCTTTCTCTGTGTGCTAAACTTGTTTATTTGGCCCAACATTTTCCTCTTGGTGCTTCAATATTAATTTTTAATTTCACAATTGTTTTCATATGGAAACAAGAAGGAGCGACTAAGGAAGACATTGAAAGATTGCCTAAATACAAATTCCGGAGAATTGGTGATTTTGACAAAGAAAGTGGTGAGATTCAAGAATCATTTGGANTTTTGACAAAGAAAGTGGTGAGATTCAAGAATCATTTGGAGGAATAATGACTGAATGCGACATTGATTCACCTGCTGAACTCATGCTCATTTTTTTTCCCAGCCTCCTAATGCTCATTTTTTTCCCTAATTTGCCTTCTAATGCACAACCCATTATAATTTGTTTGCTTGAATTTATTGTACGTTGATCTTAGTGTTGTTGTACTTTGAGAGGTAATTTTGTTGTTGATTTGCAGGTAATAAGAATGGTCGAAGCTCAGAGCGATTAGGTAATGTGTGTGGAGCACCCTGCACCTCCTCCTTGGAAAAAATTGGTATTTTTTTATTCTTTTTTCTTAGTTCTGTTACATTATGAAATTTTGGAATTGTTAGCGAAAAAAGTGACTTTGACAACTATGTTTATCAGAGCACCCTGCACCTCCTCCTTGGAAATTATTGGTATTTTTTTATTCTTTTTTCTTAGGTCTTTTACATTATGAAATTTTGGAATTGTTAGCGAAAAAAGTGACTTTGACAACTATGTTTATCAAAGTATGTAGATTAAAACTGAGTTTGTCTTATTTTTAACCTCATCAACGTCCATATCATTTCTTAAATGGTTGTTGAAGTATGTATATTAAGAAGATAGCTAGAATTGCATTTGACGTTTTTGATCAATATGTATGGAGAATACTTGCAACAAAATTCTGAAATTATATGTCAATGCTTTTGCTGCAAAAGTGATTCATTTTGTTGCTTTGTTTTTCATTTCAGGTGTTGGTTATGACACCTCAAGTTTTGTTGGATGCTTTAAGGAAGGGATTCTTGAATTTTCAAGTATTATGTTTTATTATACTAGACGAATGCCATCTTGCTTCCCGTAAACATCCTTATACAAAGATTATGAAGGTAACTTCAAGCTTTCTTTGCATAGTCATATTCCAATTTATCAGCATTTCCTTTTTTCTCCATTATTGCTTATTTCTTTTGATATTTGTTTGAAGCGTATTGTGCAATTTGTATTAGACTCTGTCTTATTTCATAACTCAATCTTGCTATGGTATCATTTGTGTAATTGTTAGCCTTTACTCCTTGCATATAAATATGTAATTGAACATTTATATTCTTTATTCTTGATGAAATATCTAAGTATTGTCTTTTAACTGTAATCTTTATTCTTGATGAAATATCTAACTATTGTCTTTTAACTGTAATTATTTGTTGACAGCATACTTGATGCTTTTAATAGAAAGCACCATTTTGTTTTTAAGCACACCCAAACATGATCTGCCAATCTAAGGTAAGGTTGGTTTTTTCTTTAAATTTCAATATTAAGTATATTTCTCATTACCATTCAGAACTCTTATGATCTGTCGCCATGTTACTCAGAGTTGGGCACAAGTCCTTTTGTTTTAGCCTTTGCAATCTTCAAAATTGAGGATGTGCGGACCGTCATATCATAATGTGTAAGATGTTGATGTGGTTTTGTACAAACAAATAGGTTTAGAGGATGGGTATGAGCAAAGCAATATATTTTCTGCATATCAATATTTGGTTCTCTTTTCCTGTGGTTTGAAAGCAAATAAGAGCTGCAAATTATTTTTGTCATTGAAATTTCTTTCATCAGTTATATGGACTATGTTATTGTTAATGTAACAAATCTACATTGAATGCATAATGTGTAGGGAATCTTTGTTTTTCTTCTATCATGGCAACTTTAGGATTGCAGGCACATTTGCCATTTTATTGGAAGGATGGGAAAAGGAAGGGAACGTGGCTAAGGCGAAGACCACCTTTGGGGAGATGGTGATTCGGGTGGGTTAGATATAATTTAATTTCAGCTAGAGAAATACCTCCATCCAAGGATGAAGACATGGATGGAGACATGTCTCCATCCTTGGATGGAATGCCTCCATCCCATCCAAGGATGGAGGCATTCCTCCATGTCTCCATCCAAGGATGGAGGTAAGGAGAAATGCCTCCATCCTTGCCTCCAATGCCTCCATCCCATCCAAGGATGGAGG